GTGCTCCCGCAGCCTGACTGGGGGCACCCAAAGCAAATAGTCCCAATCGTTCTACAAAATGTGTTCAAGCAAACATTAAATACATTTCTGAAATATTAAAAAGAACTACTGGTTGGTTTCTGTGGTTTGTTCAGCTAACTTACTAACCTGATACCAGGTGATCAGAGATTATTCCACCTGAGATTGTAATAACAAAATGCCTTTTCCCACATAATCCTTATGGTACAACTTGGCCAAATTACTTAATCTTATAACCCTGCTCATAAAGGTTGTTCTGAAGATTAAATGATAACTGCATTTAAAATACACGTGAGGGGCTTAACAAGTGCCTTTACCTCTCGTTATTATAATCTCCCTCTTGTAGTCACAAGCCCAGCTGTTTTATCCTTTGCTAATTAAGACAGTGGTGTCTTTTATGATGTATTCATGCACTACAATTTGTCATAATGGAAAAGGCTCATGAACCTTTTTATAAAGAAGGGAAATAGCAAGATTTAATAAGAGTAAACAACTTGAACAAGGAGTTCACATTGCACTTACAATTCTCCATTAACATGATTGAGTTTAACCCTCCTGAAGATCTTCAACAAAGTCGTGTGTCTATCTCATAATTTAGTGCTACTTCCCCTTTCAGCGAGGCCCACGTCATCCCACATAGCTAAGGCCCTTGAAGCACTTCTGTCAGTATCCTACCTAAAGAGAAGAAGGCCCACCTCTCTCCATATCCACATCCACAGGCCCTGACGGACTAACATACACCCTACCTACGCCACTCAGAACCCCACACGCTGTCCACTGAAGTTCTCTTGCGAGCCTCTCCTCTGATCCTCATTTATAATGTACTTTTAACTTTTGAAGTCCTTTCTACCAGACTGGTCCGCGATGGTACCTGAATTTCAAATTGCTAAGTAATTAGCCCTGTTTATTCCATGTCAATTGGTCTTAGGTGCTTCCCCTTCTATGAAAAGTTCAAGGTCGGCCAGCACTTCTTTTCCCCCCAGTCACCACTGAAAGCTCGCTTCCTGAAAGTTCCCTGTGGCACCTCAGGGCCTGGGGCCTGCTCTCCCGCCAGGGCTCGCTTCTGAAACCACCAGTCCACTTGGTGACTTCAAGCAGCCATCACCAAGAGGCTATTCTGAATTCACATAACCTTTGGGGTAGATTTCATTTGAAAACAACTTTCATCAGAATGCCCAAAATTTAACCTAAGATGGAGAAGGGAACAGAAGGTTTCATTTTTGTCTTCCAGGAAAAATAGTATTATCTTCTCAGTTACATTTTAAAAATTAGTCAACTGCAATATATTTATTACATTCAACTGATTATCAGAATTAAAATAAGCTAAAATATTAACACTTACCTAAACAGAAACTGCCTATTTAGATTGGAAACATCTATAGTGTCCATGTCTATTACATGAATCTGTCTAAAACCAGACAATGCCTGCGGAGATAAAAATCATCTTGTTAAACAGAAGCTTCCTTATCCTTGAATATTGAAAAGTTTTGTTTTCACTGTAGTGCTAAAACTAAACTCTCAGTAACAAAAATCTGCATAATTGTATTCATTGGCTAAAAATAATCTTGCAAGGCATATAAAATTCAGGGTTCTTATAAAAGTTGTTTTAAATGTACAAATACTCATTTTAAATAATCTGAAACCAAAACGAGAACAACTCAAGATTTCTATAAAGTTGTTTTATAACTCCATAAACACATTTGTAATGTTGTTTCACTGATAGTAAATTTTTCCTATCTTGTTAACCACACTTGTATTTTTTCCAAAATATTATTAAACAGCAATTCCTACAAGCTTTACCTTAGTTTATGTAATATGCTATAAGGCAGCGGTTCTCAAACTGTGGGTCACGACCCCTTTGCGGGGTCACATGACCCTTTCACAGGAGTCGCCTAATACATCCTGCATATCAGATATTACATTACGATTCATAACAGTAGCAAAACTACAGTTATGAAGTAGCAATGAAAATAATTTTATGGCTGGGGGTCACCACCACATGAGGAACTATATTAAAGGGTCATGGCATTAGGAAGGTTGAGAACCACTGCTATAAGGTCTGAAATGGTGATTCTTTATCACCCACGGACCAACTCCTCAGTTAGTATCTTATTACCTGACATTTCACATTTTCAACAGTAAAATTGCTACTATCCACTATTTTGGCTGATATTCGGGTTGGCTTATACTCGAGTATATACAGTACTTCAAACTAACTTTCACCTCATTACTCCACAACTACACTTTTCAAAGTCCCCAATGATGACAACCTTCCTCCTCAATCTAAGGACCAATTCTAGGTCTATCTGGCAGGTGGATCACTTGCACCTCAGTACAACACTTTCTCCACTTGAGTATCACATTAGTGAGAATTTTAACATTTTCATGTTTATTGGTTCCTAATTCACCACTCAAGACTTTTCCTCCTATTTTACTGGCCCAAAATTTAAGTGCTCATGTGCAACTTTAGTTTTCTATTCTTACGGGCTAAAACATAGAGCGCCATCTAACAGCTCCATAATAGTTTCTAAGACCAAGTACCTGCACATCTTCCCTCACCACCAAACCTGTTCGTTCCCCACAGCCTTCCTCAGTTCTGTGAATAATTCCATCCCACCAACTCTCCTGGGCAAATATCTTGTTGTGCCATGCTTGATTCCAACCCAATACATCCCATAATCAATTAGCAAATCCTACTGACTCCAACTTCAAAATATATTCATAATCTGCCCACTTCTCACCTCTGCCAAGGCTGCCACCCTATTTGCAGGCACTATCATGTCTTGCCTGGATGACTCCAACAGCCTCCCTCCCCTGACCTCCTTTTAAGAGATCCTCAATACATCAGAGATGAAAAGCCATATTCTGTCACTCATCTGCTTAAAGCATTCCAGTGACTTCCTGACTCAGATGTTACTACAGTAGCCCCCAGAGTTCTTTGTGGCCAACTCCGGTACACCTCCCACCCCCATTTCCCTTTATTTCTTTGACATCCTTGCCAAAAAATGTTCCCCATACCCACTTCTGCTGTATCTGTACTGCCCTCCTTGCTGTCCTCAAACTATCGGGCATGCTCCTGCTTCACAGTGTTTGCACCTCCCCTCTGCAGAGATTGTTCTTCCTCCACATACCTGGAAAGTTCACTTACTTCTTTATTCATATTATCACCTTTGGGGAAAATCTTTTCTCTTCCTGCCAGGGTACCTATCTTCTATGCTCTCTTTCTCCACAGTATTTATTACCATCTGACATACTGTATACTGTATATACTCAATACTCAATTATAAAGCCAACCCGACTATCAGCCAAGGCACCTAATTTTACCACAAAAACGGCATCAAAAACGTGCTGAAAAACTCGCTTATACTTGAGTATATACAGTAGTTTGTGTGGCTTTATTGTTCAGTGCAGCATCTCTAGCATTTAAAATGGTGCCCAGCATATTGTAGGGGAGGGACTAGGTTTGGTTCAATCCATATTCATGTCGTATTTTTTTGTGAGCAAATTAAATTAAAAAGTGGTAAAATCAAAAGTCCTTAGTATCCTTTTTGTGTAAGAGGCTATTATAACAAAGACTCAGAAAATTGCTTAGTGACTACAGTAATTTTCAGACATAAAGTTCAATCATCTTACACTTATAGTACAGATCACATTTGCAAAGAACAACTTCCAAGTAGAAAAGTCAAACATTAGGCAATGTGTGCACACAGCCCTATTAAGAACCACTGTCCATCCTACATAGCCCCTGTCCCTCTAGTTTCTCCAGTTTCCAAGGGTCAGTGTATCGACGTCAGGCAAGACACTGCCATTTTGGCACCCCTGTCAGAGTATATCATACACACATCGTTTGTTTTGTGTGAGACTTATCTCCCCAATGAAACGTCGACTCCCTTGAGGGCAGTAACTATCCTGACCTCCAGTCTTCGAGGAACACAGGATTATGCCTAGCGAAGCTTGCTGACGTTTTTTTGCAGTTTCCCTGGGAGTGGTGTTCATGTACCCTACCAAAATTAACACGGCTGTATTTGTGTTGCCCTGTGAGCAACTTTAGGTCCTGGCATACAAATAGAGTCAATTATTTTCCATACCTATTTTGTGGTTATCAAAAATCACTAACACCAATGAAGTACAAATGCTAGATTTTGAAAATATTTCAAAATATGGAATCAGTGTCACTAAATACCCTCTATTTACAAGACACTCATTAGATACAAATTCAGAAGGGAATAGGAAG